CTTATCTGCCCCTGGGAGCCCTGTAATGGGCTCGACACACGGGAGGCGACAAACGACCGCGATCAGCAAAATTTGTCGCTGTCGTTTTTATTACCTGACACACGGGAGGCGATACGCGGCAGCGGCCAGCGGCAACGCCGTCTACGCGTTCTGTTCCATGGCGAAATCGACACTTCCGTTGTTTTGTTTGGCTGTGTCAGGTTGGAGGGAATTAAGGTTATTTAAGCGGTTCAGAGTTAAAAAAGTGGTAGATTTGATGTTTCACAAGGTGCTGCTAGAGTTATGTGAAATCTTACTTCTGATTTTACTATAAAACATAATAATAATCAACTTCTCCATGTTTGCTTGGAGATGTATGGAGCATCCTGTCCGCTCATTAGTCAGTGAATGAAACCTCCGTTGATTGGTCCTCGTCCGAGCGACAGCGACGAAAAGTTGAAATTGTTTCAACTTTCTGGGATCGCATCGCTGGGTCGCCTGTGCACGACACGTGCACGAGCGCAAAATTTCTCACGCACATTTTTCGCGTTTCGCTTGGTAGGAGGGAGACCGGCGATTATCGCTTTGTCGCGCATGTCTTATTGAAAATGAATGGAGGAGAGGCGATGTCGCCTCCCGTGTGTCGAGCCCGTAATGCATAGCGTCATTTCAACATGGGGGTGTCCGCGACACGGTTTATATGCAGGTAGCGGCGCTGCGGCTGCTTTATTTAGCGACTCGTTGCATTCTCCCTCAACCCAAATCCTCGGATCACGCATTTTAGCTAAAACGCTAACGTTAGCTTGCCTTGCGTTGACTGTAGAGTTGTGGGTGATGGTCACGCAGATGTGTCTTGAGATTTGAAGCGTTGCTGCCTTTCACAGACACTTTTTCTGCACGTGCTGCAAACAGGATAGCCGTCTTCTATCAACTGTCCCTCGGCATTCTTCAAATATTGAAAAGATGCCCGTACTTCCCACTTTGTCTTCTTTGAGGGATAATAAATGTCCTGAGCACTGCCGTCTCCTCCTTTGGCCATTATTTCAGCTTCAGCTTCAACAAAGTTTTGGTTGTAAACATCAAAGTGCGCATGTGCTGCCGGCAACTTCAGCAGATGATACGGTGGCTGGTAAGGGTCACCGCACCTACACCGCAGCCACGGTAACCCACCGAGATAATATAGATTTTTTTAAAACAAGACTGTTATTATTATTGTGAACTTTTTTACCGGGGTTTACCGCTACACCGGTTACCGTGACAACCCAACCTCAGACCAAACCACATCCAGACTTGTTATTAATAATATTGTGTATTATTTACACCAATCAGAAAATTCTGTAATGTTCACAGACATCCAAACCTTAGAAATGAAATAAAGTCAATATTAAAATGAAAAATGATTAACAACATTGTTTCTTCATTAAAAGATTTGTTATCTGTGAACACTTTTTATATTTGATATTGTCCAGCTGAAGCAGACGTCTGCTTATTTCTGACAGAGCTGAGCTGTGGAAGAAAATATTCAGGCTTATTTAATCTTATTTTCCATCACTTGTGGGTTCAGTGCATTTACTTAACATTAATTATAAAATTATAAATAACAGGTCACTACAGTCTGGGCGTAGAACGTGTTTCTAGGAACAGAAGCTTGTTGGGTTAGGGTTGGCAGCAGCTCACCTGTTCCTGACAGGAGAAATCCTCTCATCAGCAGCAGGTGATCAACAGAGTAACACCGGCCCGAAAAACAAACAAACAAACACCAAGCTCAAACCAGGTCACCAGGAATTTCCCCAGCTGGATCCTGGTTCTGCCCGCTGTTGGATAAATAAACACAACTTAGATCTGTGGCTTGTATTAAAACAAACCCAGAGCGCACCACAGGAGCGAGATTGTAATGAGGGCCCGCATTTTTGCAGCTTGCTCGGTGCAGAGCGGTGGAGAAACATGTTTCAACAACAAAACCAATCTGAATACTGACGTAACACCGGTGTGCAAAGTTTCAATTAGCAATAGCTAGCAGAGAGGGGGAGAGGGCAAACAATGAGAGAAACCCGGAGGGACCGGACTGATAATAATTTTTTAGAGCTAAACTGCAGGAAAAGTAAGGGTGTTTAAGCTCATTACATAAAGTGTCTGTGTTAAGACACCTGCATCCCCCACGGGTGCCACGCCCATACATGCACGCTCGAGACCGTTTCACTGCCTTGCGGGAGGGGTGGGGGTGGGTTGTTAAATTTGTGGATCGTTTTGCTGCCATGAGAGCGAGGAAGAGGGTAATAGCACCCGAAGAGTTTTGGTGTCGTGTGTCGGCCGTGAAAACGGGGTTGTTTGAGGGAGGGGTGATTTCATAGTCGTGGCGCTAGATTTCCGTAGGGTACTCACTGTATTAGTAGAAAGTAGTCCTTACCCTGTATAAATCGTCACTGGACATTGTGCACTTCACATATCAGCAGTGAGCCAACACCCCGACGGCTGGAAATGTGTTCTGTTGTTGCACTATCACCTCTAAACACTAGATGTTGCAATAGTGTCCATGTTCCATATTCGACCTTTACATTTTGGTGGCGACTTTTTTTTGGGCCAGGCAAACGTTGGACTTATACAGACCTAAATGATAGTAACCTGAAACTCAGTGCTTGGTCAGCCAGAGAATTGTGTCGTTTAGCAATTGAAGACTTTGTGTTCTTGTACAAAAATGCCTTTGATTCTTCATTAGTTTCAAGGCAGGTGTGTTCTAGCTAAGATATTTTGAGTCCCTTGTGCTAAAATGCAGAAGTTCACCAGTTCCTTTAATAAGAATATCACAGTTCTGTAAAAAGGACTTGATTCATCTCAGCTGAATTGGCTATAATTAGAAATCTTATACGGACTTTTAATTCTCTCCTGTTAGCAAGAGTGACTGAAGAAGCGGTGCTGTTTTATTATAAAGACAGTTAGGAAATCTGTTTAAATCCTAAATAACTACATTTCTGTAGTTTATATGAAGTTATGAACTAATGAGGGAATAACTTTCCCAATGAATCATGTGATCACTGAGCGGTGTGCAGTCACCTGGTTTAAACGAAGCATTGGACCTATTCATTTTGCCTCGAGGATGTTTTGTACTTGAATGAATTTAATTAAGTTGTTTCAACTCTACATTGCTGCAATGTGTGAATGAAATAAGAAACAGGATTAGATGTTTCTAGTTATGATTAGTTGAGTTTGAATGTTAAACTGCTAGTAAACCTAAGGCAGTTACAGTGTGTTTATTAACCACAACAACTTGGTTCCTATAGGTTTGGTTTTTTAAGTAGTGAGTCCTTCAGATGGTTAGTTTCAATCAGGGATACTTTTTTGTATTTTGTGTTATGTTGGTTGTGATTACTTAGCATTCAGAGCTTATGGGGTCATAATGGTATTTACCTACTGTCATGCTTTTCCATTTGGGTTACGGACAATAATCAGAGACAGCAGATGCTTCAGTACCTAAACAATCATTTACACTTGATCAAAAAAAAAAAAGGTCAGCACGGGCAGTTTCCCTTTTGTTTCTGCTTGAAAGGTTATTGATTTTTACTTTTAAAGTTGTGTAAAAGTGGTTATTAGAACAGGAAATGTGGTGACAGAGGTCAGGGGAATTTCTCATTAAAACCTGTGGGAATGGTGCATACCAGCCCACAGACTCTGAAATCTCCAGGTCCCTCAAAGGAACTGCAAGCCTTTTCTCATTTATGCAACCTGAAAGGCCCAACAGTGACGTGGCACTTTGTTGTTGGTGCTGCTGTCAGTATTATAGTCCTTTAGATACCAAGGTGTGGAGATCTGCTTGTAGAGATCTACTTTTCAATTGTGCTGTTGGGTGTTTAGAAGTAGTAAGAAACTTCCCTCGTGTTCTGCTGTGGCTACAGATCAAAGAGGGGAAGATCCCAATTTGCATAAACAACAAGGATCACTTTCTCTTATTGGTCTCTGTTCAAAATGAACTTAGTGACTTAAAGAAAAGGGCCCAAACCTCTCTGGTCCTCCTTTGGTGTCATTTCTTCAAAGTCTTGTTTCATTCAGATGAAACTTTACAAACCTATCATGTTTATTAAGAGAAGAGAAACTTAAAGCATTACAAAAAACAAAATGGAGATTAGGATAATGTAGAATAAAAGCGCATTGATAAAAGAAATTCCTAATTGATTGATTGATAGCGATAATTATTGGTAACTATAGAAAAAATGTAGAAAATATATGTTAAGTGCAGCCCTGGGCATTTGTTTTTGATTGTGAACAAGTAATGACTCTAATATTAACATACTCATTTGGCTACAATCAAAACAGAAAGGAAATATATTTTTGAAGTTTTTATTGTCTAATTGTTTTTCCTATCCCATTACTATAGATGTATATCATTCTTGAATTATTGGCTAGCCCTAATGGAGATATTCATCTGCTGATGTCAGATAAATAAAATAGGCACGAATTCTCCAAGTCTGTCTACTTGTTTAGCTTGACATGAAGCAGTCTGCTTCCATTTGGAGTTTTAAAGTCTGACAGCATCAGTACTTAAGTTCTCTTAAGTAACTTGCTGGAATTGTGCTGTCATGGTTTTATTTATTTTAATCTAATTTTTAATGTTGGCTTTTGTTTGTTCCATGGTTTTGAATGTAGGTGACTTTTTATGTAGAGGTTTATAAATGTTGCTTGGCTTTTATTGAGTTGGCAAGCAGGGTTCACAGAAAAATATTGCTTGGTTTTATTCAGTGTATATTTAATTCTATTTAATATTCAGTATTTTCCTTGTTTAATGTTCTTATTCTGGCTTTTGTACTGTGTTGTGTTCAGCACCTTGGGCTGCCTTGATTGGTGGCAGGAATGTGCTTTATAAATAAATTGATTGATTAATTGATTGAATTGTTTTAAATACAGTTTCAATAAAGGTGCTATATTATGCCAAATCCACTTTTTGGAGCTTTTGATCATGTTATATTATTTCCTGATGAAAAACACCCCAAAACTGTTTTTGGAGTCACACATGCATTTTCCTGTCTCAGCTGCAAATCCTAGCTTGCGTGCCCAGCAGTCTACATTCAGATGGATGGAGTTGTTGCTGCATCATCACGACCTGCTCCTCCCCATTCAGGTAGTCTTTCCTTATCCCTCCTCCCCTGGACTGTAAACGCTAACAACCAGTCTCTTTGTGTAGCTAGCAGGGATTGTAATCTCCACAGTTGTGAAGAAGTGATTTCTTAATTATCTAGTCAGCACTTTAAACAATGCCTAGAACCCAAAAATTATTTTTTTGTCTGCAAGAGGAACATGATTCATGTCCATTCTTCCTTAAGAATCTGCAGAAATGGTTGGATTTTGTCTTAAGGAGCTCTCAAACCCGAGCCGAAATATGACTGATTTCACAGACTGCATGTCAAACTACTACCATCGGTATTAGAGTGGGTTTTCAGATGGATTTCTAATTCAATTCGGCAAATTCCAACATAAAACTAGAACTGCAAGCAGTTATCAACGGGGTCCAAGCCAACCAGCGCCAGTCCCCCTCCCGGCCCCGCCCTCACTTTCGCCATTCCTCACGTAGCCCCCGCCCCAAAAACATATTCGCTCGCTGGCGTCCCGTCAGCTCACCAACCAGCGCAATGAAAGTAACAGGATACGTCATTAAACCTTTTGCACTGCCTATACACATATCTTTCATAGGCATGGCTGACTTCTCAATCGTGATTACAATCAAATTCCACTGTTTTCTTATTAAAGAACGTGAAGATTTAATGAGTGAAGTCATGTCTCAAAGTCCCCAACTGACCCTTCCTTTTATCACAAGTTGGTTGAAAACCCGTGTCACAAACTTAGGGGTTGTGATGGATGCTAAACTAAAAATGGACATTCATGTCAACCAGGTAGTTAAGACCTGTTATTACCACCTGAGGCGTCTCTAAAGTTAAGCCCGTTTTAAAAAGGCGTCATCTCCATTCAGTTGTCCATGCATTTATTACTTCCCGTCTCGACTATTCTAATTCAGTGCTCTTTGGTATCTCCTCCTCCATTCTCGCTCGACTTCAGCTTGTGCAGAACACAACAGCTCGTTTCTTGACTGGCACCAGGCAGCGAGAACACATCACACCGGTTTTAGCAAATCTCCATTGGCTCCCCATCCATCTCCGGATAGAGTTTAAGATCCTGGTTTTTGTGTTTAAATCCCTCAATAACTTAGCACCTGGCTACTTGTCTGGAACCACTTGCCCCTCCTGATCAGACTCTCTTCCTCTCTTTCCCTTTTTAAGTCTCATTTAAAAACTCACTTTTATTCGTTGGCTTTTAATTCAGTCTAACTTATTCTCTTTCTCCTTTTCTTTTCGAGTTGGATTACTCGATTTTAATGGTTTTAGTTTTTATTTTTGATAGTTTTATTGTGTGTTTTTGTTCAGCACTTTGGTCGGCTCTCATGCCGTGTTTAAATGTGCTATATAAATAAACTTGGTATGGTATGTTATGGTATGGTATGTGCTGCATGGGACAGCATTAGCTCAGGAAGTGGAGCGGCTTGTGCGGTAATCGAACGGTTGAAGGATCGATCCCAACTCTGACCAGAAAATGCTGCCTCGCCTCTCAGTGCACCCCAGGGAAGCTGTGGCTAGATTGTAGCTCATTTCCACCAGCGTGTGACTGGGTGTTTGAATGGATGAAAGACTCCTGCAGGCGTCGTGTCAGCTCTCTAAACTGGCAGAATGAAATGAACACTCAGGAAATCTCCTTGAACCTTTTGCACAGCCAATAGGAAAATCTTTCATAGGCATAGATAAAATCTCAATCCCCATTACAATCCATTTCCATTGTTTACTTTTTAAAGATCGTGGACATTTAGTCAATTAAGTCGTGCTGTATGGGACAGCAGTAGGTCAGGAGGTCGAGCGCATTTTCCAATAATCTGAAGGTTGTGTGCTCAATCCCGACTCTGACCAGACAATGTTGCCTCGTCTCTCGATGCCCCCCAGGGCAGCTGTGGCTACAGTGTAGGTCATGCCCACCAGTGAGTGACAGTGTGTGTGAATGGGTGAAAGACTGATTGTGTTGTTTAACGCCTTGGAGGGTTGTTGAACCCTACTAAGATGCTGTACAAATACAGGCCATGTACCATTTCATTATTGTTTATGTTTATGTATTTAGCAGACGCTTTTGTCCAAAGCGACTTACAAGTGATAATCGGCATGTTGCCCTTGAGGCTAACAACAACAACAATAACAACAACTTGACATCAGTCATGGAGAGGAGGGAACAAGGAGTGGATGGTAGAGAGGAGGGACGGGTGCAGGGAGGGTGCTAGTTTAGAAGATGCTCTCTGAAGAGCAGGGTCTTCAGGAGTTTCTTGAAAATTGAAAAGGAAGCCCCTGTTCTGTAGTGCTTGGAAGGTCATTCCACATTTGTGGAACGATGCATGAGAAGAGTCTGGATTGTCCTGAGCGTGGTGTAGGCACTGCTAGCCGACGATCCTGTGATGACCGGAGCGGCCGGGCCGAGACGTAAGTCTTTGCAAGAGGCAATATTACTGCAATGTTTTTTAAATTAATTAAAAATGTATTCTTTTTAAAGAAATTTCCTAAATATTCTTGGATCATCATGGGGTCATGAGAAATCAGGTTTTGTCATTTTGTTTGTAAATTAAATATTTTTAAATAAAAATAAAAATATTGAGATTGATAAATAAACAGACCGAAACAAAATCTTTATTCTTAAATCCATATTTAATCTAAAGATTACCAAACAATAATCTATACATCAAGAGTATATTAGGAATAGCATAAATACTTGATAATGTCCCTAGATTTAATAGATTTTCAACAAAAACTAGTAGTTTACATTGCGTGACTTACTGATCAAATGATTTTTAAAAATCCTGAAAAATCCATAAATCATCATAAAATTTCCAAAATATTCTGACATGGCAATGCTAACCTGCAGAATACAGTGCTGTTTTTTTTTAAATCAGTAGATTCAAAGCTTTTCTCAAGAAAAATTGGTAAATATAATTATAAGGGTCACGCCAAAAATTAAAATATTCATAAAAAATAGTGCTACTTTATAAAATTAGTAGAAAAATGTCAGATCACCATAAGTACATGTGCAATGTTGTAAATGGTTTATATTTACTGTATACCTAAAAAACGTTCTAATACAAATTATTTACTGTTTTATCCAACTATACAGAAAAACTGGCTTAAAGTTAAAATGTCATTAAAAATCTATGCTTTTGGACAAAAATCTCAAAATATTCCCAGACTACCTTTGTGATGTGAGACTTCTGCTTATATTTTTATAAGGATCATAAAAGTTGAACTTATCTGTAGGGTTGGGCATCGCTTGATTTTGAACGATTCCGATTCCAATTCCAATTCCTCGTTTCGATTCCGGTTCCTATCGAATCCCGATTCTGATTCTTTGAAGACACAACATGCTTTACATGAGCTAGCTAACCACAGGTCCTACTGGATGAAATAATCTTAACTCCAACATGAATTTTAACTCTATGAACAACAACATCACCTTCATTTAGACAAAAACATGTTTTGGAGAAAAAAAGAAAAAGACTTGCATCACAACTAGTGTGTTTGTTTCTGACCACAACCAAAGTCTGGAAGAAGCCTCTGGGATGAGAGGCTAAATGTCTCCAACATATCCAGAAACGTCCAGCTGTTTTCAACTAAAACTCTCAGGATGATCATGTCCAGGATGACTGAGAACTACACCTCCATGCTGCAGCAGCGTTCAGTCAGAACAGGAAGTGAAACTTAAATGTAGCTGCTATCAGTAACAATCTAACAGATTTTAAACATTAAAACTCAACAGAAATAGTTCAGAAAGGAAATTAAAATGTTCACAACTTTGTGTGTCATTTATTAATATTATTATTATTATTATTACTATTATTATTAAAATTAAAATGATTTATTGTGGCAGAAGCTGGTGTGGTCCACCACAGATAAGCTTCTCTAGCATGGTGACTTTAATAATTCTACAGGTTATTGTTCAGCCTTCTGACACTCACATGTCTGACTGCTGATGCTCTGTGTGTGTTTTTCTTTCTGCAGTGAGACTAACTCACCTCACACCGTCCAGAGTTTGTTCTTTAAAGCTTCTATTAAATCCACCGTGTTGACGTATTTAACACGTTTCCTCTACGCTGCAGGAGTTAAAGTTTACATTACGGAGTAAAAGTTCAGCAGACGTGTTTGTTTATATCCGGGTGGGGGGAGGGGGGACTCGTGCTGCACACAGACAGCTTGTATGATCAGCTCTGAAAAATGTTGATCACAATTTGCAGATCACGTTTTTTTTTCACGGAGATCAGCTGCGGATTCCTCTTCCATCGGCTTTCTAGGAATCGAAACTAGGAATCAAAAAAAAAAAAGTTGAGCGATTCCGAGAAAATTGAACAGTTGGAACCGGTTCCAATCGATTCTCGATGCCCAACCCTACTTATCTGACAAGAAAATAATATTTGCATTAGTGGCTGTCAATAAAAATAGGTCCTAATATTAAACACAAGGGGGTGCTAAAATCAAGACTACATTTTATGTGTTTCATAAGCCACATAAGAGTGAACTCTGTGCTAAATTTCAAGAAGATTGTCATAACGGAATTTGCGCTACTACTGCTCGCCTAAAAATGTATTTTCATAAATATAAAGTGCAAACCTCTTCGTGGAGCTGCGATCTTTGTGATTTTAATTCAATGCTAATGCAGTTAACACAACCTAAAAATCTTTGCCTCTTACATGCAAATAATGATTTTTAGGAAATGTTTCAAATTTTAAAATTTAAATGATCGTGAACCACGCCCACTTTGATCGATCATTACCATATTGATATTGTAGTCTTAAGACTATAATGATGACAACCACTAAGTTTCACGCAGATCCATTTAGCCGGTTGAGCAGTATAATTTCTTCCTATTTATAGTGCCCCCTATTGTTAAATCAAGCTGAAAATCAAGATAAACACTTGAATTGCCTTAGGTATGGTGTTTATGAACAGCTTTGAAAAATGTCAAAATCTTTTGAAGTTATACTAAAAAAAACTTTTTCATTCAAAAAAAAATTTTTTTAAAAAGTCATATTTCCCAAAATAAGTAAAA